CCGCCCCGCCGTCCTCTGAGGAGGCCCGCCCCCCCCCCATGCTGATGCTTCGGGCCCCCCCCCCCCGCGCGATGGGTTCTCCCCCCCCCCCCCTGCGCCAGCCAGCCAGAATGTGACCCTGTCCACTGCCGCGGGGTCGTGTCCCGAGAACCTCGGGGAGCGCCGGACGTGGCGTGGACATGCGGTGGGGGCGTTCGTTGGGGAACGCGCCCGGGAGGCTGCAGACACTGGAGGATTCCACGTGGGGCAGGCGCGGAGAGCGCGAGCGCGAGGAAGGCAGGGGGGGCCATGGGGGCGCCCCGCTGCAAGGAGCACTTGACTGGCGCCAGCGCATGAGAACAAGGGGGCGTCCACCTTGGAGGACAGACGCCCCGGCCAGGGCACCGAGGTGAATCAGCCAGACGGGACAACAGCGAGCGTGCCGCCCTGGGGGGCAGCACGCGCGCCAGGAAAACCTATCTGATGAGGGCGGCGGTGGCATACACGGCCAAGCTTCGATTGGAGTTCCACCGGCCTCCAGACCCTGGGTTCCTTATCTGAGGGTTCCTCATCCAATGCCCCCACCGTCTTCTGGCGGTGGATCCCTCGCGCGATGGGTCCCGCATGGCAGCGGGGGCGCACGCCGATCATCGCTTTCACCGATCCCGATCCCTGCGTTGGAGGCGGCTGGAGGGTCTGAGCCAGTTGGGCCTCGGGAAAATCTGTCAAGAGGGGGCCCCGAGATCCTGGCGACTCGGGTTTTTCGAGCCAAGCGTTTTCGCCGTGTTTCGGGCCCTGGGACCCCCACAGATCGATCCGGCTCGAAGGATGACGCAGAAAGACGGGGTCGAGGGCTCTGGGCGTGATTGTTTACGATGTTGCAACTTTTGTTGCAACGTCGGATCTCAGGGGGGGAGAGAGCCAAATCCGTTCAGATCGCTCCCTGGACCCCTCCCAGGGTCCGTCCTGTGCAGCCTATCACCCCGGATCCGTTCTTGATGGCCCCAGGGCCCAAAAGCGCGCCCCGGAGACCGCGAAAAGAAGCCATGATGGACCCACGCACCCAGAAAGGCATATAGAAATGTGCGGCACGGCAACGTTTTCGAGACGCCTCATTGGGCGACGGGGGGGACGTGTCAGGGGACGTATCAGGGCACGTGCCCTGGACGTGCATGGGACGTGCCGAGGCGCGTGCCTTTGGGCAGGCCAGAGGACGTCATACCAGGGGATGACAAGGGGCGCTCCACGGAACGGGCAGGGGAAACGCCTGAGGAAGAGCCAGGAAACGCGACAGGGGACGAGCCAGGGAATGTGCCACGCCGAGAGGCGTGCAAGGGGACGTGCCAGGGCAAGTCACGCCAGAACGTTGGAAATGACGCGCCAGGGAACGGGCCAGCGCGCCAGGGGACGCCCCACGGACGGGTGGGGTTGGGCTGTGACGCATTTTACTGCAACAAGTGTTTCACTTGAGACATCCTCTACACATCCTCATGTTAGACATCTGGGCGACCTGGGCACGTGAAAACAAGCGTATCGCTGAAGACATCTTGAACACATGTTCCATGCCAGACATCTGCCTGGGCGACCTGGGCACGTGAAAACAAGGGCTTCTGAACACGTGAAAACAAGCGTCTCGCTTGAGATCTACTCAACCAATCCTCATGTTAGACATCTGCCTGGGCGACATGGACCAGAGAACACAAGCGTTTCGCTCGAGCCTCCCCCAACTCTACAAAACGAGCGTTTCACTTGGGACATCACCAACTAATTATGTAAACCAAGCGTTTCACTCGGGCCATCCTCAGAAACAGATCCGCCAGCCCACCCTTCCCTCGTTATTCATCACACCAAATTTCCGCCGGCCCACCTCAAGTCGGGGCCCGGAAGAACATCTAAACGAGAACCCTGGGCCAGCGCTCTTTCCGGGAAACAACTTACCGAACCCAGAACCTCGAACCTCCCACCCCTCTTGCTGGCCAGAACCAGTGCTAGGCCACCTCAGACCCTCAACCACCTCCAAGCCCCACTGGCGTGGCATTGTCCCCGTTCGCTGGCCTACTTATCCACGTAGGTGTGGAAGAACATGATCGATCCACGAACCCAGAAACGAATATAGAAATGTAAGGCATGGCAACGCTTCAAAGACACCTGGTTGGGCGACGGGCAAATGCAATGTTGAGTGTATCGATCTTGATCTACGGTGCCGAGGGCTGCGCTGTGCTGCACCGTGCTGAATTGCGTTGTGCCATGCCGAGGTTGTGTCCTATAGCGTTGTGGATCGAGTCCTTCTTTGCATCCGAGTCCTGACCGAACTGATCTGGATCTTAAGCTCGAGCTGCCTAAGCACATAGTAGCTGCCCCAGAACTAATTGACAGGGGGGCATGCCAGGAGGACGCGCCGCGGAACGTCCCATGGGACGCGCCAGGCGACGTGCCAGGGGACGTGCCATGGGGACGCACCGCGGGTGCCAAGGGGACGCGCTACGGAACGTGCCAATGGTCGTGCCACGGGACATGCCAGGGGGCCCATGTGTTCTCAGGCTTGCCCCGCCCTGGGGCGTTCGGAACCCGCCCTGGGACGTTCGGAATCCATGTGTTTTCACGCTTCTTCCGCCCTGGGGCGTTAGGAACGCATGTGTTTTCGGCGTGCTCCGCCCTGGGGTGTTGGGAACCCATGTGTTTTCATACTTGTCCCGCCCTGGGGCGTTAGTCACCGATGTGCTTTCGCGCTTCGCGAGCCTCCTGGGGCCTCCTGGGGGGCGGGGGGGAGCGAAAAGCGCTCCCCGAACACATGCCCAATACAGAAAAAGACATCCTGGGGCCTCCTGGGGCCTCCTGGGGGCGGGGGGGTCGAAAAGCGTCACCCAACCATATATACCATATATATATATATATACACACACCAATACAGAACAATGCCTCCTGGGGCCTCGTGAAGCCTCCTGGAGCCTCCTGTGGCGTTCGGAACCTACGTGTTCTTGCGCTTCTCCCGCCCTTGGGCGTTGGGAACCCATGTGTTTTCACGCTTGTCCCACCCTGGGGCGTCAGGAACCCATGCGTTTCCATGCTTCTCCCGCCCTGGGGCGTTAGGAACCGATGTGTTATCACATTTGTCCCGCCCTGGGGCGTTAGGAACCCATGTGTGTTCACGCTTCTCCCGCCCTGGGGCGATAGGATTCCATACGTTCTCACGCTTGTCCCGCCCTGGGGCGTTGGGAACCATGTGCTTTCACGCTTCTCGAGCCTCCTTGGGCCTCCTGGGGGGGCGGGGGGGGAAACGAAAAGCGCTTCCCGAATACAGATCCCAATGCTGAACATACGTAAAACAAGCATTTCACCTGAGACATCCCCTGAAGTGAAAAACGATGTATAACACACAACAAACGTTTCGCTCGAGACATCATCAACAAATTCTGACAACATGCGGTCGTCTGGGGCGCGGGAGGGCACAGGAACGCCCGGAGGCGCCCAGAGGCCAAAAAGTCAATGGACCGATACCGGATACGAATGAACTCTCGACGTTCCGTTCCCGGCCCCAGGAACACCTCAGGAGGCCCATGTTAGATACCCCCTGGGTGGCCTCGACACGTAAAAACACATGGTTCCAGCGCGAGACCACCATGTTAGATACCCCCCTGGGTAGCCTGGACAAGTGAAAACACACGGTTCCACGACAGGACCACCATGTTGGATACCCCCCTGGGTGGCGCGAACACGTAAAAACACGTGGTTCCAGCGCGGGACCACCATGTCAGATACCCCCCTGGGTGGCGTGCACACCTGAAAACACATGGTTCCAGCTCGGGACCACCATGTTAGATACCCCCTTCTGGGCGGCCTGGACATGTGAAAACACTTGGTTCCAGCTAGGGACCACCACGTTAGATACCTACTTGGGTGGCCTGGACACGTGAAAACAGCTAGGAACCCATCTGTTTTCACGCTTGTCCCGCCCTGGGGCGTCAGGAACCCATGTGCTTTCATGCTTCTCCCGCCCTGGGGCGTTAGAAACCCATGTGTTTTCACGTTTGTCCCGCCCTGGGGCGTTAGGAACCCATGTGTGTTCACGCTTCTCCCGCCCTGGGGCGATGGGAAATCATATGTTCTCACGCTTGTCCCGCCCTGGGGCGTTGGGAACTATGTGTTTTCACGCTTCTCGAGCCTCCTTGGGCCTCCTGGGGGGCGGGAGGAAGCGAAAAGCGCCTCCCGAATACATATCCCAATGCAGAACATACGTAAAACAAGCATTTCACCTGAGACATCCTCTGAGTTCTGGCCCCCAGCAGAGGAACAAGCGCGTCGCCCTGGACATCCTCAACAAAAATAAAATCTGTAACGCAAAACAAGCGTCTCGCTCGAGACATCCTCAACACATTCTGAAAAACAAGCGTTTCGCTCGGTACGTCTGCACAAATAACTCCGCCGGCCTTCTTCCCGCCCCTTTATCTACCGCAGAATAATTCCGCCGGCCCTCTTCCCGTCGGGTCTGGGGGGAAACGGCTAAAAGAGAGCCCTGGACCCAAGTGCTTACCGGGAAAAATCCAAGGCCCAGGCCCCCCTCCTCCAAAGGCTGTAGTACAGTCGAGGCGTTGACCTAAGGAACCCTAAATAAGGAACGAGGCCCTTTTTTTCCCATAAGTTAACCTTCGATTTCCTGACGAAAACATGAGGAAAGCCTGAGGCAAGCTGTGAAACACTGAAGGAACGCGGAGCCCCTCCCCAACGAAAAGGGTTCCTTCTTCAGGGCCCCGACTGTAGCTTGGCCAGACGGAGGGCCTCCCCCCTCCCCTGTGGGTGTGGGGTGGCGCTGCTGCGGAATCCGCTTCGCCGCCGCCGTCGTCGTCGTCGTGGCGTTGCGTTGCAGTGCTTCAGGGAGCAGGAGGTCGTCGTCGTCGTCGTCGTCGTCATCGTCGTCGTCGTCGTCGTCGTCGTCGTCGTCGTCGTCGTGGTCGTCGTCGTCGTCGTCGTCGTCGTCGTCGTCGTCGTCGTCGTCGTCGTCGTCGTCGTCGTCGTCCCCCCCCATCCCCCACCTGTGGGGGGTGGGGCCCTCGAGGCCATGGGACGCATCCCATATGGGTTGGGGGGGGGGCGCGGGCCCGGAGCCCTGGAACAGACGCGCTGTTTCCTTCGGAATTTCGCAGGGCCTATGCCCGCCGAGGCTGTTGGGGCTGCGGTGCCATGCCAAGTGGGGGTGGGGACAGGCCAGACGATGCTGGCCTGCGCGAACAGGGTGCCGCTGGTGCCCAGCGACACCGCGCAGCGGCCGGGGGTGCAGCAGCCGCAGCCCAGGGCGCTCATCATGTTGTCCCCGCTGCCTCGGTGAGTCAGAGATGAGGCCCTGAGGACTGTGGGGCCCTGAAGACAGGCAGGTCTCCCAGGTTGATTTTCTCCAAACAGGCTTGTCCTTCAGGAGTCCTAGCTCAAACCCTCCTGATTGGTCCGTTGCCCCCCCCTAATTCCCGTGCCCCCTCCTAATTCCTATGGCTATGCCTATGTCTAGGCCTATCATCCCCCCCTTTTTCCAATGCCCCCCCTCCTTTATGTATGCTTGCTTGCTTGCTTGCTTGCTTGCTTGCTTGCTTGCTTGCTTGCTTGCTTGCTTGCGCGCTGAGTTGCGGATTCCAGGCATGCGCGATTCCTCCGCGATTCCTTGGCTTGAGTCCTCTCACCTATTTGGAGCCAGGGCTGGCCGATACTCTGCAATGCCTGAGGCTCCTCGTGCTCCGGGCCCCGCCACTCGGGGCCCCACCCTTTGAAGGAGAACGAGCTGCATGAGCACATGCACACGTCGTTCGATTTCTAGCCGTGCTCACTTCTAATTGTGCTCGCTTCCAACTGTTCCTGGCCCCCCAGTGGCCAGGAAGAGGCTCAGGATGGCACAATTAGGAATGACAGGATCCTGGCCCCCAACAAAAATCCAAAGAACCTTCGAAGAATTAGACCTGAACCAATGTGTACACACGTTCGGAGCTCCGCGCGGATTTCTTGGGCCGGCGCTGGGCCTCCCCGGCGGCGCCTCCAGCGCGGCCCCTGGCGCGCTCCGCGCGCAGGGAGGGGGGCCCCAGCGCACTTCCAAGGAAGCCGTGCGGAATCCGACAAACTATGTTTGTGCGGCTCTTCCCGGGGATCCGATGTCTTGGTTTCTTCGATGCGGCCCCCCGTGAGCCCCGACCCACTCTCGGGACCAGCTTTTCACCCTGAGTCGTGTTTGGACGGCCCTGGGGCCTAGCGAGGGCCTCTAGAATCCGAAAACAGCCAACAACCTCCGTCCTGATTGTTCTTTTTACCCTCCTAGGTGGAGTCCGAGAAGATGGGGTCGAAGGAGCGCGCCGCATCGCCAATGCATGACCGATGCATCGGCGATGTGTCGGCGACGTCGGCGACTCATCGGCGACGTCAGCAGGGAGCACATCGGCCTCCACATCGAGCCGCATCGTCGATGCATCGTCCATGCGGGGCGACCCTTCGACCCCGTCTGTTGGGATCCCACATTTGGAAGGCCTGGGACCTTCGCCCGTTTTGTTTCTGATTCTTCTCCTAGAAACAAACATGATCGACCCACGAACCTGGAAAGGAATACAGAAACGTAAGGCATGGCAACGTTTCAAACACACCTGATTGGGCGACAAGCAAACGCAATGCTGAGTGTATCGATCTTGATGTACCGTGCCGAGGGCTGTGCGGTGCTGCGCCGTGCTGAACTGCGATGTGCCATGCCGCGATTGTGCTCTATAGCGTCGTGGATCGAGTCCTCCTTTTCATCCGAGTCCTGACCGAACTGATCTGGATCTTAAGCTCGAGCTGCCTGAGCAGATAGTGGCTGCCCCACAGCTACTTGACAAGGGGGCATGCTAGGAGGACGCGCCGCGGAACGTTTTTAAGGGATGCGCCAGGCAACGTGCCAAGGGACGTGCCATGGGTACGCACCGCGGGACGTGCCAAGGGGACGCGTTACGGAACGTGCCAGTGGACGTGCCACGGGACGTGCAAGGGGACGCGCCGCGCGACGTGCCAGGGGGACTCGCCACGGGACGCGCCACGGAACGTGCCAGGTTACAATGCTGAGTGTATCGATCTTGATGTACCTTGCCGAGGGCTGGCATGTGCTGCGCCGTGCTGAACTGCGATGCGCCATGCCGCGGTTGTGCTCTATAGTGCTGTGGATCGAGTTCTCCGTTGCATCAGAGTCCTGACCGAGCTGATGTGGATCTTAAGCTCGAGCCGCCTGAGCACATAGTAGCTGCCCCACAACTCACTGACAAGGGGACATGCTAGGAGGACGCGCCGCGAAACGTGCCAAGGGAGGCGCCACGCAACGTGCCAAGGGACGTGCCATGGGTACGCACCGCGGGACGCGCCAAGGGGACGCGTTAGGGAACGTGCCAGTGGACGTGCCACGGGAAGTGCAAGGGGACGCGCCGCGCGACGTGCCAGGGGGACTCGCCACGGGCCGCGCCACGGAACGTGCCAGGTTGCAATGCTGAATGTATCGAGCTTGATGTACCGTGCCGAAGGCTGTGCGGTGCTGCGCCGTGTTGAACTGCGATGTGCCATGCCGCGATTGTGCTCTATAGCGTTGTGGATCGAGTCCTCCTTTTCATCCGAGTCCTGACTGAACTGATCTGGATCTGAAGCTCGCTGCCTGAGCACATAGTGGCTGCCCCAGAGCTCACTGACAAGGGGACATGCTAGGAGGACGCGCCGCGGAACGTTGTTTTAAGGGAGGTACCAAGCAACGTGCCAAGGGACTGCCATAGGTACGCACCGCGGGACGTGCCAAGGGGACGCGTTACGGAACGTGCCAATGGACGTGGCACGGGACCTGCCAGAGGGCGCGCCGCGCGACGTGCCAAGGGTACTCGCCACGGGACGCGCCACGGAACGTGCCAGGGAACGTGCCAAGTTGAAATGCTGAGTGTATCGATCTTGATGTACCGTGCCGAGGGCTGTCATGTGCTGCGCCGTGCTGGCCTGCGATGTGCCATGTCCCGATTGTGCTCTATAGTGGTGTGGATCGAGTCCTCCTTTGCATCTGAGTCATGACCGAACTGATATGGATATTAAGCTCGAGCTGCCTGAGCACATAGTGGCTGCCCCACAGCTACTTGACAAGGGGGCATGCTAGGAGGACGCGCCGCGGAGCGTTCCAAAGGACGCGACAAGCGACGTGCCAAGGGACGTGCCATGGGGACGCACCGCGGGACGTGCCAAGGGGACGCGTTACGGAACGTGCCAATGGACGTGCCACGGGACGTGCAAGGGGACGCGCCGCGCGACGTGCCAAGGGGACTCGCTACGGGACGCGCCACGGAACGTGCCAAAGCATGTGCCAAGTTGCAATGCTGAGTGTATCGATCTTGATGTACCGTGCCGAGGGCTGTCATGTGCAGCGCCGTGCTGAACTGCGATGTGCCATGCCGCGATTGTGCTTTATAGTGTTGTGGATCGAGTCCTACTTTGCATCTGAGTCCTGACCGAACTGGTGTGGATCTTAAGCTCGAACTGCCTGATAACATAGTAGCTGCCCCACAGCTCATTGGCAAGGGGACATGCTAGGAGGACGCGCCGCGGAACGTGCCATAGGACGCGCCAAGCGACGTGCCAAAGGACGTGCCATGGGTACGCACCGCGGGACGTGCCATCGGGGACGCGCTACGGAAAGTGCCGATGGACGTGCCCCCTCATGCTAGACATCCGCCTGGGCGAACTGGAAGGGAAAACAAGTGGTTCGCTCGAGACACCCTCAACACATCTTCATGTCAGACGTCCACTCCAGGCCCCCAGGGAGGCCCCACGAGGCCCATGTTAGATACCCCCTAGGTGGCCCGCGCACGTAAAAACACGTGGTGCCAGCTCGGGACAATCATGTTAGATATCACCCTGGGCGGTCTGGACATGTAAACACACATGGTTCAAGCTCGGGACAATCATGTTAGATACCCCCTGGGTGGCCTGGACACGTAAACACACGTGGGACCAGCTCTGGGCAACCATGTTAGATACACCACTGGGTGGCCTAGACACGGTGAAACAGGTGATCCTTGCTCGGGGCAATCATGTTAGATATCCCCCCTGGGTGGTCTGCACACGTAAAAACATGTGGTGGCAACTCGGGACAATCATGTTACGTAGATACCACCCTGGGCGGCCTGGGCACGTAAAAACACATGGTTCAAGCTCGGGACAACCATGTTAGGTATCCCCCTGGGTGCCCTGGACACGTAAACACACGTGGGACCAGCTCTGGGCAACCATGTTAGATACACCCCTGGGTGGCCTGGACAAGTTAAGACACGTGATCCTTGCTCGGGACAGCTATGTTAGGTATCCCCCTGGGTGGCCTGGACACGTAAAAACACGTGGTGCTAGCTCGTGCCAATCATGCCAGATACCACACTGGGCGGCCTGGACACGTAAAAAACGTGGTTCCAGTTCAGGACATCCATGTTCGATATCGCCCTGGGTGGCCTGGACACGTAAAAGCACATGGCGCCAGCTCGGGGCAATCATGTCAGATACCACACTGGGCGGCCTGGACACTTTTTAAAAAGTGGTTCCAGTTCAGGACATCTATGTTAGATATCCCGCTAGGTGGCCTGGACACGTAAAAACACTTGGATCCACCTCTGAGCAACCATGTTAGATACACGCGTGGGTGGCCTGGACACGTTATAACAGGTGGTCCTGGCTCGGGACAACCATGTTAGACACCCGCCTGGGTGGCCTGGACATATACAAATTACGCAGCCCCCGCACTCCCAGGGCCACGATCCCTAGTAAATTACGCGGCATCCGCGCTCCCAGGGCCAGGATACCTTGTTAATTACGCGGCGTCCGCACTCTCAAAGCCGCGATCCCTCGAAAATTACGCTGGGTTTGAGCTCCCAGAACCCCCTGGGCATCCTTGAGCGCCCAGGCCCGTCAAATGTTGCAAAAAGAGCGTTTCGCTCGAGACGTACCCAAACTTTCTCCGCGTAGGACGCGCCATCCTCGAGCGGGCACGCAACAAGTCAACATTTTCCATGTTTTTGTGTCCTGGTCGGGGCTCCAGACCTCGGTTTTTGTTCGAGGATTCAGCTAAAAATGCCCCGCACCTTCTTTTTCACAAAGGAAAGCGGTGGTCCGCGGACCCCCGTTACTTATCGAGGATCCGAGATGGGGGGCAAATTTTCCTCGGGCGGGCACGGGAAAAAACGCTCTTCTTCAACTGACAAGTCACACTTCACCTCGAAATTGATCGCGGAATACCTTTCGCTGGCCCTCTTCCCGTAGGGGCCGGGGGGGTTCATCTACGAAAAAAAAACCCTGGGCCCGCGCCCTTTCTGGGAAACAAAACAACAAATCAAAACAAAAACGCGTTGGATCTCTGGGCTTTTCGCTCGAACCCTGCCCCCCGCTGCCGGGCGCCACGGCGACGCCAGCCGGCAACCCGAGCCGGGCTGCCGCGGCGCCGCAGAGGTGGCCCACGACCTCCGTGGGCCCGACTAGCCGGGGCAGCTTGCCGAGGACCGGGGGTTGCTACAGTTGAGGCCAGTCCTAGGTCCCCCTACAAGCGCAAATTTGACGAAAAATTAAACATACTCAAAATACATCACGTAGCCAAAATAAATTCAAAACATCGTCCCCAGACATACTCAAAAAATCGTCCCCAGACTCTTTTTTTACTATTTTTGATTATGCTCCTGTAGAGGGACACGCCCGACTTAAGGCCAGTCCACAAGAAACCTTCCACTGGAAACCCAACCTTGTGATCCCAGGACGTCCATTGAGTTTTGGTGTGGGGGCGTCACGCTTTCCATCGCAGAACCATCGGAACCAAAGAAACCCAGGGCACCCTGGAGGCAAGCAGGATGTTTCTTGGCATGGGTCCCCACTGTAGAAGTGCTACTGGCCCAAGGTGCCTCCAGGATTTCCACGGATAGAAGAAAGAAAAAACTGCATAAACATAGACTTGTGGCGCTCCGCGCGGATTTCTTGGATCCGCGCTGGGCCCCCATCTGATTTTTCCCTCTTTCGAAAGGTGCCTCCAGGGCCTCCTGAGAAGCCCGCACGAGGCCCACAGGGCCCCCAGGGCTCCAAAATGAAACGAAAAGCTAGGGGCACCTTGGGCCAGGGGCACCCTCAACAACCCCCGAGAGGAGGGCGGGGTCCACCAGGTTGGCGCTCGTCGCATCCCATTGCCGGCTCACGACGTCCAGCATGCCAGTGCCGCTGGCGTCGCCGCACTCCTGGAGAAGAACACCCACGCATACGCACACGCATACCCACACGCACACGCACACGCGTTTAAGTCGGCGGCGCAGAGGGTCCTCAAGCGCGGGCAGCAGATGGAAGTGCTAATTGCGATCGAGCAGTGTCGAAGGCAGTGTACGAACACGCGAACGCACGCGCACACACACACACACACACACACACACACACACACACACGCGCACACACACACACACACACACACGCACGCACGCACGCACGCACACGCAAACGCACACGCACACGCAAACGCACACGCAAATGGCACACGCAAACCGCACACGCAAACCGCACATGCAAATCGCACACACCCAAGCCGCACACGCAAACCGCACATGCAAATCGCCCACACAAACTGCACACACACATATACACACAAGCCGCACACGCAAACCGCACACGCAAACCGCACACGCAAACCGCATACGCAAACCGCACACCCACACCGCACACGTAAACCGCACACGCAAATCGCACACGTAAACCGCACACGCACAGGCACAGGCACACGCACATGCACACACACACACACACAAACAGGCCTGGCGCCGCAACCTCCCCGAGGTGGCGGCGGCGTGGGCGTGGCGGCGGCGGCGCCGTGGCGGTCGTCCGCATGGAGATGGACGCCACGAACAGCCCGCGGAGGCCGCCCCGCAGGAGCCTGCCCTCCAGTCTCGGCGGCGGCGACGCCGAGCGCGGCCTCGCCGCGCAGACGTGGAGACAGAGGGACGAGAAGGAGTCGGCGACGATGGAGTCGTCGTGGCGGCCGAAGCGAGCGGGGCGGGCACCGAAGCGGGCGCTGCCGCGGCGGGTGGTAGCCTCGCCGACGACTCCCCGGCAAACGTGGCCAAGAACGGCGGCGGCGGTGCAGCTGGAGGTGCACGCCTGGGCCTTGTGCTCGTGCACGCGCCCGCGGCGGCGGCGGCCGCCGCCGACGACGACGAAAAGATAAGCGACTTGAACGACGAGTGGGCCGACGCGGCCTCCGCTCGGCTCGCCAGGCCGCCTCCGCAGTGCTGGGCCCAACCTCCAGCGAGGCCACGGCGCTCGCCGAGCCGCTGGCGATGACCGAGGCACGCGAGGGCATCTGATGCTGCTCCGTGCGCGGTCGTCGGACCTGGCCGCGGACGAGGCGCGCAGGGCCCTCCTAGACCACGCGAGCCCCAGGCGCGTCATGTTCCGCGCGCTGGGGCTGCTGCGGCCCGCCGAGTCGACGTGAGACCAGTGGGCCAAGTCGGCGCGAGGCGGGAGCTCCAAGGGGAGCACACCGC